TTGCGTGTTTTTTAAGAAGTCGCACCCAGTATGCACTCCCAATCTGCGTGAGGTAATAGTGATTAGCGTTTAAATAATATTAGAGCGTTTGTAAATAATGCACAAGTCCTACCATGCCCTTTTGACTCGCAGTTTGCCGTATATAGAGTAAAATTTCTGCGGCTCATGCTACTTCTACTTTTTGTAAAACCCCTGATTAACAATGTAGCTGAATCTTTGTAATACTGACAATTCCGAGTAAGTTCACGTTTTTGAGACCCGGGGCACATCAGGGCTTGCCTCGGTTTCCGCCCTCTCGCCTCTGTCCACCAGAAGCTGTGTCACGTTCTCCTAAGTTTGGGCTAGGATGCTGCTGCTAGAGATGTTTATCACTGCTAAGAATGCTAATTCTAGTAATCATACTTACTAAGACCAGCGGATAATATATTCTAGTAACAGTTTCCTATAATTGTATCAATGAGTGACATGCATCCTATTTTTGCAAAAAGCATAGCAGATGGTAATATGAGCTTACGCGCGTCCGCAATTTCATCTGAGCTGATTTTCAAGACACCTGGGCGACCGTTCACTTCCGGTTGTAGAGTACGTTCAACAGAATCACAGTTAACTGTGCGGTCACGAAGTCCATTCTAGTACCATTTATAGAAATGTGTCTACGGTCATAAAGTTGCCTGAGATGTTGCTGAACGTCCATCAACGATATTCGGAGGTAGCGGACCAGGACTTCTCAATCATTAATCGATGGGACTCCTGGTTTTAGTGAAGACTATTCGTATCCATGTTTGTCCGTCATGCAACGGGTATTTTATAATTTACACTACTCCAAGTGCTTTACGTCACCTTTAACAGTGAAAAAAACATTACGTATGAGCCACTTGTTTTAGGCTAACCATCTTTGCGACCGCACACCGCAGCGTTCGACCTCCCAGTTTCCTCAATGAAAGCAGATGCATCTTCGTAACAGTAACCTGCACAAGTTAGCTAGCGACGCGAAAGTGGAAGGGCGATCTTATAACGACCTCAAAACCCCGGGCTACGAGACGGAAAAAGATAAAGTCCACGTAAGTACCGAATGTTTTCGGCAGTTATGGCACCCTTGGGGTGTCGTGAATGGAATTTTAGCCACAGTCAGCTAATTTGAAGGGTTTTGGCGAGCATCCGTATAGAAAAGTGATGCTTTTGGCATAAGAATATGGTTTTACATCCCGGAGTGGCTTTTTTCTTTCAGACACATACCGTTTCAGAAAGTACGACTTACTTAATCATCATCATCCATGTTTGTGAAGGCATTTCATGTTAGACGCTACGACCCATGTTGAAGTGCCTTTAGTTCGACTTGTAAAACAAGTAGACGTGCTTTGACCAAGCTAGCTGGAAACACATTTTAGTTCCACTCATCTCTTAAAACCACATTTACGTCTCCGCCTGAAGTAGCTTGCTTGGACTGTTTATAAAAAGTAAATGTTCATGCAGGTTATTTTGAAAATGTTCAAACCTCCTGTTTTAAGCGCTTGCCCCTTCGACAGCAGCCTGTTCCCTACAAAAGAAGCTCGAGACGGCTGGATTGCCTTGGTAAGGTTAAACCAGATCATTTCTGTTGGTTCTGCGTTCTCGAGGGTGTTGTTATTCCTCTTACTGAAGTCTCTTCCATGAAGCTGCC